TTTTTCCGTCCACGTTACACACGTTATAACTTTGCACACTTGTAGGAGTTCCTTTGGCTTCTACATTTGGCAAATAAATTTGAAAAATATACCTGTGGTATTTGTTAGTAATTTTGCTGGCTTTCAGTTTATGAACATACCAGAATCAAAAATGCACCTTTAAGTTTATAGAACAGATAATATTAGATGGCCACCCTGCCTGCATGGAAGTCCTATTACCAGTTTTGTGAACCATACACAACGCATGACTCATAACTATACCAAATTAGGAACAAAGCAAAACATGAACTGGGATTCAACCAGAATTTTATTAAACTGAATTAGATTAAGTACACTTTCTGCTTGAATTTACACTGTTTTTCCATCCATGTTACATACGTTTGATTAAATTTTAGTAGTTTACCATTGCCAGATTTATCCTGCTTTTCACACAGCTGTACCCCAGGTTTTCTCAGGATGTTAACCTGAGGACAATGATTTTGCAGGCTATTGTCCTTGCAGTTAGGCCTAAACTGTGGAATCGCCCATATATATATATATATAATTTTTTTTTGCTTTGCTTATTTGTAGGGCTGTTAAATAAATATATATATATATTTATTTAACAGCCCTACAAATAAGCGAAGCAAAAAAAAATTTTATATATATACATTTTTTTTTTGCTTTGCTTATTTGTAGGGCTGTTAAATTTGGTGGTTTTAGAGAGAGGGCGCTATTAAATAATCTTCAACATCATCATCGTTATTATTACTAAATAATTGTTATTAATTATAATTAATTACTAAATATAAACATTTCTAAAAAAAACAACTAAGCCACTCTGAGACATTGCAATCACTGGCGCATATTGATCTGCTTATGTGTATGATCATGCTTCACTCTGAAACAAGCAGTTTTTTTTAGTTTGGTTTTATTTCAATTAATCACGCAGCCCTTACTAGATATCTAGAAAGCAATATATTTGTAGTTATTTCCAACAAACAGATGGAATGCAGTACCAGGACAGCCAAAAACAACAAATCTGATTGGCTACTTGGAAACAAAGGTTACTCCATTTGGAAATGAGACAAAGATGGGGAAAGAGGTAGGTTAAAACAAAGATCTGTCATGTAGGGAAATGTAATGAGGGAGAAAAAGAGTGATGATATGACATTCAGTGCGTGTTAGAAATCGAAAAAATGTATTAGCCTGCGGAAATGAGGTAGGGTTTTAAACTGGTTAAATTACTTATTAGAATGATTGCATTTGTTTATCAACTATAGCACGCCACACCAGCATGGCCTAAAAGTGGCCAATTTTCTCTCGGTGTGGGGCAAATATAGCCAAATGTGACAGATTACAACTTACAAGTTCTTCATTTACCCACCGGACCACAAGCATATCATGCCACCCACCGTGCTGCACGTCACGGGGTGTGCAGCGGTTGCTTTTAACCAACATTTCTTTAAACTACTCAGAACTTTCCTTGGGGGGGGGAAGAAAAAAAAAAAAAAAAAAAAAAAGATTCTGTGACTACAAGATAATAAATGGAGAAGCAAAAGAAAAACAAATTAAACGAAAGACCGAAAAAAATAATAAATAAATAAATATATAATAATAAAAAAAGTACAACCAATACTGGTGAGCAAACAAAGGGAATTGTTTGAAAACAACAGCAGTCAAACAATTCAACACACAGATCAGTATCACAGGAGGGGGCTTGTGTGTACTGAACCCCTCTCTTGAAAAGCTAGGCAGCACAGGACAAATTGTGCTGAGACTGGAGGTCTTTATACAACACTACCCGGCGAACGTGATGTGTGCACTGTCCCTGAAATAAAACTCCCCTCTCCTTCCCTGCAGGAGAGCATCGGTCTCATGTAGCAGGTGGGTACTCGGCATCGCAATTCAGGGATGTGGGACTGTGGAAGGGGAAAAGCAGTAAACGAGAAGGATAAACAGTATTTGACATGCACCTACATTGCCCATGTACTCTGAGAGCAGATCCTGCAGCGCCTGTCGCACGGAGTTGCATTCGGCCACGATGCGTTCACGCCGGTCATCACGCGTGCAGGAGGAATCAGCCATGAGGGCGGCGCCACTTATGATGCTCTCCAGACGCTCCTCGAGAGAAGGCCGAAACCTCTCCTCGCTGAAACTCAGCGGGTCCACGATGATCTGCTTCTGCAGGGGGAGAAAAAGAGAGAGAATAAAGCATAAGAGGATTAAAAGTAGAAGGAGCACGACAGGAAGATTAAGCAGTTTCTCTGAAGTAATGCACTAAAATATTGCCATTCAGCGTTTCTGTGCAAAACGGGATG